TAGCCATAAAACAAAAATAATCATGCAAACTACAGTTATTGAGAATCTTTAGAGTTTATTCTTGCAAAGTAGGTCTTCCTGCACCCTTTCTCTATCCCCAGTTCTTCCTCTCATCTGCATCTAATCTTGAAATCTTTCTGTTCTCAGCTCTCTCCTTCACTTTTCATCGCTTCTGATAAGCGGTTGAAGATCGTAGCGAGAGATTTCCATCCTTATCGAAGCTGTGTTGAAAGGAGTTGGCAACAACTGCACCTGGCACGGCACTCATTTTTCAACTGTCTGCACACTTTTGCACATGCACCTACATTTATCGCAACCTGTACACAGCCACGAGTGTGTTGGTGTTTGATCCAGCCGTACCTTCCTGTAAGCCTCTGTATCCTCCCCCTCTTCTGCTTCATGTACTTCTGACTTAGTACAGACATACACAGACTTACACACTCAGAAATATTTTTACTTTTAATGCAAGTCACAGGCATGCAGAAATGCACTGTTCATCTGCAGTTTCTGCAGCATGCAATCATGTTAGATCAAGGCTGGCTTGGTTCTCTTTTATGCTCACGGCATTCTGTGTACAGTACAGTGGAGCTTCTCTGCCGCAGCAACACTATTCCATTAAAACGGACTGGTCTCCCCCTTTAGTTTTCAAACAGTCAGTCTTAGCGGGCACTGCACCATGTTTGGGGCAGTGAGCTGTGCTAAAAGACAGGGAACGTAGAGATGCAGGCAGTAAGAGTGACATGAATTAAATATCCCTTCGATGAGCCTCACTCTTGTTCCACTCGCCTCTCCATTATGATGGAAAGCCCTGTGGAGCATGAAGTCAACCTTAATTGTTTCGAAGCAGCGGTCTCAACGGGCAGGAGTACGGATGGATAGATGAATGGATGGGTAGAAAAAAAATCGCACAACAAGTGCAGAGAACAAGCTGCAAGCACCATGGGGGGGAGGGGTGCTCTGCGGGAAAATGGCATTATTCATGTGTTATCGGCACTCATAGTTTATTCGTCCCTCTTTGACCCCAGTCTGCGAAATGTACCTCTAGCACTTTGCTCTTAAAACTTTCCCTCTCAAGAAAAAAGGAGGGAGCATTGTGTCCATTAACATGAAAGACAACACAAGAGGTCTTGTCAAGCCTGAAAAGAAACTGAAGCGTCTTTCTTTACAATATGGCAGGCTTTCAACCCCTTGGAAGTAAATGTTATGAGGTATTCATACTCTCTCAGCCTCTTTTCACACCACTTATGTTACACAAATTTACAGTGGCATTTTATCTATTGAGATATATAAATCCTATCTTTGGTACAGCATGATGTAAGTCAAAGTGACGGCGACATGATTTACAAAAGGTTTAATGACAGTTTCAGTGGCATCAAACCATCCTTCCTCATCGTTTTCTTTCCTGAAATGCTGCTGCATATGACGACTTTCTTAGGCTGAACTATTTCTAGTTTTCAGGTCACTTTGCAATTTGTCTCAGCACTTGCGATTCTTTTTAACTGCGGAGTCCCTAATATGGAGTCCTTAAAGTGTCATGTCTCATCATGGAACTGACATAGTGCGGCAAGGTCTTTGCTCTCTGCATTGTACTGTTGTTGGATTAAGCTGACTGCGACGATAGTGGGAAGAGAAAGGGGACAACGAAGAAGTGACTCAACAGCTTTCTCCTTCAGCCAAGGAGGGATGAAAGTAGCACATATGAGAGTGAGAATAAAAGAGCATGGTGGAAAGACCTGAGCCTGGCTACAGGGCTTTTAAAAAAAAAACACTCTTTAATTAAGTTGATAGTTTGGCTATTAGCGATAGGGATTTTGCTGTAAAAAAACAGTTTGCCCCTATTAAGTCCCTCAGTTGCATACTGGTATTACTGTATGAAAAGCTGGTAAAAACAGAACTTTGTGAACCTTAATCAATTTGTTGAGCACCATTCACACCAGATTAGATTGGCCATATGGTGTCCAGAGTCTCCCAGAACAATTGAATATTGCTGGATTGCAGCAAATTCTCATCTTATTTTAATGTGAAGAGAAGAACGACCCTACTGCACTTTTAGAACTCAGCATACAGGTTTTTCTCTTCTGCTTTCTCAATCGTCCTATCACAATGCTACTTCCATGGGTATCACATCTGCATAGGATGTAGAATTTCCCTGTGTATAGAGATTAGGTTTTAGTCCCTCTACTATCAATTTTAGCCTTACGGGGAAGGATGAAACACCAGCAGCAAGAGAGGATACAGGCACAGGGGTTTTCAACACAGAGCACAGCACACCACCAAGAGCTAATAAATGGAACCTGGTAGAATGGCCTGTGGTTATATATCAGTTAGTGCAGTCTGAAGGAATCATGCGCAAAAAATACACAATTTGTGTGTTCTATACTGATCACTCTTTGTTGATCAAATCAAGGCTCTGCAGATAACGTTTTTTTTTATAAATGTTTTTAACATTTTTTTTAACATTTATAAATGTTTTTATTATAAATGTGAAATTGCATTATGAACCCTATGAGTGACTACTGTGCTATTTTCTGCTACTTCATCCACCTTCGTTGTTGCTAAATGTGGTGCTTCTCTTTGTATTTTAGATTTGAACCACAATGTTAAATAAACTCACAACTTCCCCTAGTCTCCCAATATCAAACCTATATGTGCAATTTGGAGGTGGATGCAGACGGGAGGAGCCCTACAATAGAGAGTGCAGCCCATGCCTTCCTGTATGTTCAAGGAGCAGGAATATGGCAGGCTTTTTTTTTCCTTTTGGCATGGAAAGAGGTTTTTTTTCAGTTTCTTGGAGACATGGCAACTGCAGTGTCAACGATGTTAAAATAAATTACATACATTGCTGCCAACACCACTGGGCAAGGTTAGGTTGACATGTGGCAAGTATGGCTAGCCCTCAGAAAACACAGGTTCATGTGGACCATATGTCTTTAATAAGTCACCATGTCCTGTACCAGACTCCTCCAGGTAGCATCTAGGACCTTGCTATGTGGAGACCATGATAGCGAACTACCGTGATCTCAACAGAAAACTTTAGGTACAGAAAATTGATAGATTGTTTCTTCCCATTTCCTTTTTAGTTTTTTCTGGTTAGAGTGTGGTCTTTACAGTCATTATTGACCGACACTGACAGCTTATGTCATTAAAGTTTGGTTTATCCTCCCTAGGAAAATTTCTTCATTTCATAAACTTCTCCTTAGATTTTCATAATCGCACAATAAATCCATAAACCAGCAGTTTGGTGCTGGTCATACACTCTACAGTGGGTTTAAAGCTTTTTAGTTGAGCACATCTGGTAGCTGCAGCTGGAAATTAGGCTTGTGAGAGTTAAGACTAAACTGACGCAATGGCAATTTGGTCTGTGATTCTGAAAGAAAAAAAACAGCTGAGGGATGCTAAAATGCTCCTTGAGCTGAAAGGAACTGCAGAGTCAGGAGATAATCTGCCTTGGGTTCATTGTTGTGAATGACATCTTTAACATTATACGGTGAGTCAAAGTTAAATGAAAATGTTGATGAGTATAGCAAGAAGTTCCTATTTTAGAATGTAATTTATTCTGGTTTATGACAATATGTTTGAGGAGGTTACCTTTCTTTCTGTGCCTCTCTCTTTAATTCTGTCCTGTCCTTTTCTTTTCATTCTGTCTTTTTAAGTCTTTCGTGCTTTCTAATTTTTACAAGAAAAGACATACAGGAAGACCTGTGGGAAGGTTTTGAAAATAACTAGAAGAAGAGGGAAAAAATAGGTAGGGCAGGAATATGAATGGTAACGGATGGGAAGAGGGACGATTTCAGGGTCAACCTTGACAAATGGGTCTGCCGAGTTAGCTGGAGCTCCGGGGAGTCCCAACAGTTAGGTCAGTGTTCCCTTAGGGGAGCAAAGAAATAGGCTTTTTACCTGCTGAAACACCAGAGAGAGAGAAAATGCAAGAGGATGGAACAAAAAGAGAGACAAGGGAGGAAGTGATTCCAAAGTATTTTTGGCGAGTATGGGGTATTGGCCTGTTATTTATAGATAGAACGGGTCGCATTCATGTTTTGAAAAGAGGCTGCAGCTAGTCGTAGTAAACTGTCACACCAGGAATTGTGGTGTGATTTATTAGACCACCCCATAAGCATCTGTTTTATTTGAAAGAGTTCCATATGTTCACAATGTAGGTATACACCACTTTGTTCAGTTACAATATTGGCAATCACGCAAGAAGTGGAGTGATGTATATTTTGCAAAGCTCAACAGATTTTTTTTTTTTTTATTAGTGCAGAAATTAGTTTGGAGTGGGAAGGGGGGCAATGCTGGAGCTGCAGCCCCCACCTCTCGGTGATTTATGGATAAAGCCTCTCCAAACCAAGTCCAAATCCATTTTATATATAAAGCACATAAAAAAAACAATAAGTTTAAACATAGTGCTGTACAGTACTTAAGCAGATCAAACCAAGACACAAAAAATAATAGTAATAAAAATCTTAACTGAACTTAACGGTAACTGCACACTTGCAGCAGTAAAGAACACTATTTTCAATGAAAATCATTAAGCAGAGATGCTTAATAATTAATAGCATTAAATATTGAGACAAATAATCTACTCTTTCCATCTTAATTTCACGACTGATTGCATAATATACAGATTGATTATGAGCATAAAGTCTCAGAATCTGAGTCTAAGTCAAGTCTAGAATCTTTGTAATGTAGGTGCAAGTCAACTATGACGTCATTGTTTTTGTGACTTAAGGGCAACTGAAGTCTAAGTTGTAAACTAAAGTTTCCAGTTCTGTAAATAAATATGATTTATGTAATCAGGAACAAATCATAAAACAGTGTTACATTTAGAAAAAAGGCAACTGCATTCTTGTCCAAAGCCAGTCAGATTTGCCTTTGTTTAAGCCATTATTGCACCTAGAAATAAAAAAAAAACCTCTAAAGTCAGTTAACGTTTTACCACTGCTCTGAAATATTCTTAATCTAGAATTCTTTAAGAAAAATTTCTAATAGAAAATCTGGACTGCACGGTGGTGCAGTTGGTAGCATTGTTGCCTTGCACAAGATGGTTCTGAGTTCAACTCCCAGCTGGGGGTCTTTCTTCCTCCCACAGTCCAAAGAAATGCCTGGTAGGTTAACTGGTCACTCTAAATTGCCCTTAGGTGTGTGGTTATTTGTGTGTTGCCCTGCGATGGACTGGCAACTTGTCCAGGGTGTACCCCACCTCCTGCCCATAGACTGCTGGAGATAGGGACCAGCTTCCCCACAACCCACTATGGAAGAAGCAGTAGAAATTGACTGACTGATTTTCTAAAAGACATTTTGCATCTCATCCCCCGTAACAGTTTTTCTAATTATAATTGTTTAAAAAAAATTAAAAACAGTTTTTATAAAAGAAAGAAATATAAAATGATCAAAGTTTAGGAGATTAAACTTTTTCTAGATTTTACACTGATGCCATTTCACTGAATTTGGATATAAAACTTTTATGATTTAAAACTTATTGGTTATTTTTTCTTAGTTTTTTTTCTGTTCTCTTTTACATACATTTTAGCGTTAAACAAAATAGATTGGTCAAAATAGTTGGAAAGCAAGCCCTTTTCTCTCATCTGAATGTGGGTATTTTCTTGCAGTACTGCAATGTATTCCTCTTTCCTTTATTTAACATCAACTTCTTTTGCAAAAAATCATTTGTAAGGGCAAAAACTTTTTGTCCTCAGAGTGAACCTCCTACCATCCAGGTAAGGCAGCACTTCGTGATAGTTCAGGTAAGCAGTCCTTGAAAGAAATGATCCTTTATTCTGTTCTGCGCAATAAGCCCACACTCTGCCTGGATGACCCCGTCATTCTGGGCCTGAATGCCAAAGCTCATGTAAGAACAGAAAGAGACCGAGGCTTGTTATTAAATAGTTTGAATAAATCAAAATCACTGACTTTTCAATGGCTCCATTCAGTGGTTTGATGAGGAGTCATGAAGAGGTGAGTTTCCTCGTGCTTGCCTGCATAGCTTTTGTGGATCAGCTCAAGCGTGCGGGTGTAACTGGATAAAGCATTTTTATAAGTATAACTCTGCATTGTCTGGGTGTTTGATATGTTAGTTTAGTTCAACCTTGACAAGATAGAAAGGTTCCTGATGGTGCGCACCCACAAATATGCCTTGACAAAAAGAAAGAGATGTACAGTCGCAAGCGGCAGACATTGGAATTATTTGACAGAATAGGCAATGCCTCTTTGCACACAAAAACACAAACACAATGGGAGAACACACGTTTTGAAATATCTAATGAAAAGTGATGAGAAAAACACTCTTTTATGTAAGGCTCTATGTACCAAGACAGCTTTCTGGTTTATATCAAGTACTAAAATTTGGTCAGAAGAACAGCATTGCAACATATTACATTATGTTGCTATTTATGTTACAAAACCAGCCCAAAACATTGAAGCAGTTTGCTAAAATAGTAGACGGATTTACTTGTAGAACAAGGTGCCAAAATCCAGTCCTGAAGAGCTACTATCCTGCAACTTTTAGATGGATCTTCGCCTCAACAAATATGAATCAAATGGCTACATTCCCTCATCAGCATGTCATTCAGCTGTGCGGGGGCATAATAACAACACATTCATTTGATTCAGGTATTTAGGAGAAGGGTTACGTCTAAATGTTGCAGGACAGTAGAGTTCAATGACTGGAGTAGAGGACCCCTGTTGTAGAACCACTTTAGGCAGTAATAACCGGTCACCTGTTGTCATAACTTTAAACCCTTTCAAAAACATTTTAGTTCACCTTTCCCTACACAATTGTTTTATTTCGCAGAGGTTTATTGGCATTCAATCACCTATTTCTTTGACGTCTTGTCATGACATTTCAGGTAATATAAAGTCTTGACTTTGACTTGGCTATCGCAACTGGTCCTCTTTTACAACCGTGACTTCATCATCAGTCCAGATAAAATTCTCCTTTGAAGCTTGACTGTTCTTATTTGGTGATATGTTCCTGTTTTTACCTCCTATGAGTTGTCTGCGCATGCCCGGGGTTTCTGTCCACTGCTCTTGATGTGGTTCTGTAGCACTGTCACAGCGCCACTAATGGGCCCGACTTACAAACTTCAGCTTTTTTAGTGGTGCTGAATACTCTCGTGTGGATGCACATTTTTTTAATACGGTGCCGTCTTTATGAAAATCGTTTTTGAAGCGATACCGTTTTCATCTTTGTCAAATTATGACTCTGTTTGGTTTATAAGACAAATTTCAGAAGGCATTTGTCGTTTCAGTTTGTTCAAACTAGGCTAAAAAGATAAATATATTTATTATTACAGTCTCTTCACTTGTTTGCACATTTAATACTAGGGAGGAGAGCTCCCTTTTAACAGACCTGCAGAACAAAACTCAGGAAGAGAGACCATATTTGTCAACCTGCTTTGGGATGAGGTGAAATACAGGCAAATGTAGTTGCACAGAATAAAGTGCAATGTTGCTGATGGCAATACTATTAAATACTGTGCTTAGATAAAAAGGAAGAGGTTATGAAAAGTGATCAGGAAATCATGTGAATGTCCAATCATGGATTAGCCAAATACAAATGTAAATAAATAACTGTTTTGACATGTGAGCAGAACCATCCAAACCTTTTTAGTATTAAGAAGGTCTCTGCCTCCAGGAACGGCTAGGAGCTAGTTCCATACAAGAGCTGTATCAGAACTCACAGACTTTATTTCTGGTTCCACCAATCAGAACAAACAGTCAGGGAGCAAAGTTCTCTGTTGTAAAAAGAAAAAAAAAATCTTGTATTTTTGGAATATGATAGAGCTTTGTTCTTTAATTGCTTATTAGTAGAAAGAACTTGTTTTTTTCAATGGACTATAATTTACATCAATTTAAAAATTTATATTTTATGATGAAGAATAAGTGTAATTTTTATGTAATATTATGTACATGTGTAAACTATAAACATGCATTATTTATGAGTGGGTTCTGTTTACTTTTTTCCACAAAGCTCGTGCTCAAGAACACAGTGTTAAGTCTTTTTTAAGCTTTTGATAAAGATTCAAAGGTCCAGCATTTAACTGTGTTCTCTCTGCAACGAATTGGCTGTAATTTATTACTGTTTTCAAACACATACACATATAAATGATGGCTTTGCAGTACTGTCACTGCACTGCAAGGCTTTTTAGCATTCTGCTCTGAGCGACTGTATTTTGCGATTATGTGTGTATCAGCAATATTTTCCTCCAGTAGTCGATGTAGTTTTAATAGCTAAGAACATCACACAGAAGAAGGAAGAGGACACTGAGCTGCAGACATCATTCAAACTGTATAATGCACATTAAACCTGAGCAGAAAATTGAACAATATGCTCTAAAAAAGCTGATTTTATTTTTCCAACATTAAAGTATAAACTGAAGTAAAACTAAATTCTTAAACGTGTGAGAATCTTAAGTTATTTTAATCACTGCAGTAAAAATGTGAATAATGGCAACATACAGGGGTTGGACAATGAAACTGAAACACCTGTCATTTTAGTGTGGGAGGTTTCATGGCTAAATTGGAACAGCCTGGTAGCCAGTCTTCATTGATTGCACATTGCACCAGTAAGAGCAGAGTGTGAAGGTTCAATTAGAAGGGTAAGAGCACAGTTTTGCTCAAAATATTGAAATGCACACAACATTATGGGTGGCATACCAGAGTTCAAAAGAGGACAAATTGTTGGTGCGCGTCTTGCTGGCGCATCTGTGACCAAGACAGCAAGTCTTAGAGATGTATCAAGAGCCACGGTATCCAGGGTAATGTCATCATACCACCAAGAAGGAACGAACCACATCCAACAGGATTACCTGTGGACGCAAGAGGAAGCTGTCTGAAAGGATGTTCGGGTGCTAACCCAGATTGTATCCAAAAAACATAAAACCACGGCTGCCCAAATCACGGCGGAATTAAATGTGCACCTCAACTCTCCTGTTTCCACCAGAACTGTCTGTCGGGAGCTCCACATGGTCAATATACACGGCCAGGCTGCTATAGCCAAACCTTTGGTCACTCATGCCAATGCCAAACATCGGTTTCAATGGTGCAAGGAGTACAAATCTTGGGCTGTGGACAATGTGAAACATGTATTGTTCTCTGATGAGTCCACCTTTACTGTTTTCCCCACATACGGGAGGGTTACGGTGTGGAGAAGCCCCAAAGAAGCGTACCACCCAGACTGTTGCATGCCCAGAGTGAAGCATGGGGGTGGATCAGTGATAGTTTGGGCTGCCATATCATGACATTCCCTTGGCCCAATACTTGTGCTAGATGGGCGCGTCACTGCCAAGGACTACCGAACCATTCTTGAGGACCATGTGCATCCAATGGTTCAAACATTGTATCCTGAAGGTGGTGCCGTTTATCAGGATGACAATGCACCAATACACACAGCAAGACTGGTGAAAGATTGGTTTGATGAACATGAAAGTGAAGTTGAACATCTCCCATGGCCTGCACAGTCACCAGATCTAAATATTATTGAGCCACTTTGGGGTGTTTTGGAGAAGCGAGTCAGGAAAACGTTTTCCTCCACCAGTATCACGTAGGGGACCTGACCACTATCCGGGCAAGAAGAATGGCTTAAAATCCTCTGACGACTGTGCAGGACTTGTATATGTCATTCCCCAAGACGAATTGATGCTGTATTGGCGCAAAAGGAGGCCCTACACCATACTAATAAATTATTGTGGTCTAAAACCAGGTGTTTCAGTTTCATTGTCCAACCCCTGTACATGGTAAAGGTGGCCTCTTCACATCACCTTTTCCTTAAACAGCAGACCAACTTGGCCATAAACACTCAGCTGCAACATTTCACAAGACAGACCAAATCTCAAATCAAATTTTGCTCGATATTTCATCGGCCCTGTCTTACCTTTAAATTCACTGGCAGCAGAAGAAGCTGGCAAACTGTCTCCTACTGATGCTTAAGGTCAGTGTTGGAGTACTGCAGAGGCTATCCAGAAGATGGATTATGCTGGGATGAAGCAGGTTGGAGGGTTTGTTAAATTTTGACTTGTCTTGTCCTCACATTTATAATAAATAACTTTTACTCATCTTGACAACATTACCAAGGCC